TGACACATCTGCCAGTGATGAATTGACTGTAGCCTGGGAACAAATGAGTTAAAACACATTGTGTGACCAAAACAGATATATTTGCACAAATACATTAAAATTTTAATGCAACTGCACTTTATTCTCCTTTTAAAAGCTGTTTGTACAAACTCAAGAATTTAATCAACCCTGCATTCAAACCAGTGTCACACCAAAAAACCCAGCACCAAACCCATAATCATTCTATCACCTCATTTCTGAAGTCCTGACAATGACTTTACAAAATCAATCTTTTACATTTAAAATTCCTAGTATATACAAATTTTCATTATTTTATTTCTTTACCCTGGAATGAATTATTGCCTTTGCCTACCACTATTTCCTTCACTCTTTTCTATGAAGACTCATTTCAGAAGATGAACTATATTCTGACCAGTGATATATAGCTTTATAGTAATCATATCTGACTTTACCCAAGTCAGTTGCAACCTATGTGCTTTCACCGCAATAAACACTCTGCTAGCCATTGTCTCTTGCTGTCTGGAAAGATAACCAAAAAATAACAGTTTCTGCAAGGAGGAGCTGCCTCACTGTCATGATTTAAATGCAAATAAATATCCTATTGCACTTTAGGGAAAACATTTTAAATTAACAAGGCAATCGTTTAAAGGTCCTAATAAGCAATTAGGCTGAAACAATGATATCAGAAAGAGCCCCCTTTTGAAACACATTTTCAGTTTTCACTCATATAAGAATTTAATTATGTTATAACTAAGTACACAACTGAAGTATAACCCTTATCCACACATAATTTTAATAAACAAAATTAATCCAATACATTTTCCTAATGTTCTACAGGTAGGTAATTAATTGTAGATCACATAACTGTCACAATACTAGTGGAACGCTTTTATGTAGGTGGTAAACACTGCTCACTCAGAATATTAATCTATTCAGCATAGTTATGTACGCAGAAAAATTGCGATTCTCTCACAAAGACACCAGTACCTCATCGACTAGACAGTTCCCTGCTTTCAGTGAGGATAGAGAGTACTTTGAACAATTAGCTGATACATGGGGTGAGAATCCAGTCACCTAGCATCAGTATTGAGAGATTACAGTAAGCTGTTCTGCTGAAGTTGATGAAATACAGGATATTCACCTCAAAGGGAAATTATTTTGTAGGCAGTAATTTCACATTTTGCTTGTGTACTGTTTCAACAAACTCAAAGCAATTTTATTAGCTAGCCATTTAAGAATATCAAAAATTACCCTGAGGAAAAATAACAAAAATATTTTTTAACTACATATATATACTTATGCCTATACAAACTCAAAAGAAAAACACAGGCCTATCCTTAACTGAAAAATAAAATAGTTTAATAGAGTACTATAGATATTTAGGCAAAACAATTCATAAAATACATGCATGTATATATAACACAGTCCTAATACATAACATATACTATGCATTATACAATGATATATAATATATAAAACGTGTAATATTTATAAAGATTATTTACCTTTTTTGTTAATCTTTTTACACTTCCCCTACACTCCACTCCCTTCTGCAGTGATTATTAGGACAGCTGCCTACCATGCCTGAAAGTCAAAGACAGCAGCACATTTGATATTATGCCTAAACTTGCAAATTTGTATGAGAACAACCATCAGTAAATTCATGGTGCAGAAACATTAGAAGGATCAAAGACATTTAATTAGCTGAGGATGGCCAGCTCAGGATGTCTGGTGACAGCAATAATTTGGTGGAATGCCCTGTCACCTTGAATACAGTTTTTCTCCTGGGAGTTCCAGCTTCATACTGCTGTCACAAGTTGAGCTTTCTCCTTTAATATTTCTTTCGAGCAAGTCCAGATCAGGATGGGGCTACCTTTGAACTGAGCAAAATGGCTCAGATAATTTAGAAACTCATAATGGTTTTAAAAACCCAAAAATATCTCTAGTGAAATTGATCTAAAGCTATACGACATAAAAATGCCTTCCAATTTCTGTTGCAGTTGTAATGATTAAAGTATTCCAAGGTGCTTCTCCCACTCAAGGCTTTAAACAAAGTTATCCAGCATTTACCTAAAACATGCCAATGCCAAGAGGTTTATGACACGGATCAAGTACTCACTTCTATTTTGTGCTGAGATGAATGATGTATTTTTCTCAATAAAAAAACATCAGCAACAATATCACTGTGATGCAAGTCCCACACAGTATAGTCAGTATCTTATGTCAAATCCTTAGCTGCTGTAAATCTGTGTAGCTGCACACACATACACACAAAAAAAACAACCTTACAGCTATGCTAATTTACACTGTGTGAAGGACAAATAGTTAAAAACACAAGATTCAGCATTATTTTTAGAATCAAGATTCTGCTTGTAAGAAACTGGTTGGATACAGTACATAATGCTTTGTGATGATACCACAGATGCACTTTATTTTCTATACCCTTCTAAAAGGCAAAGAAAGATACAGTTTACATGATACAAATATTAAGATGAAAGATTATAAGGAGATAATGTACATCTGAGTTGATTAAAAATAAGACATCTGTAAAACAAGGTTGCAACAACTTCTGTAAGTTGTCCTTTTCCAGATCACATACTTAGATTAGCTTCAGCCTTTTGAAAAAAAAATCAAAACTAATTATCTGTCATGCAATTAAAAGTTCAATATTCAGTGAAATATCTGTAAGATCAATGAGCTATGCAGTTCAAAAAATAATCAGGCAACTTAAGAGCCATAACAACAGAAACACGTACTCTCCACCTCTGAGCAAAATGGGATCACATTGAACAACTGAGTAACTGCTAGTTGTTCCAATAGCAGCAGGTTGGCATGAAGATCTTCACTCCCTCAAACTCTTGGTTCTGCTGATGCATTTTTACATGAACATCTGAGACACTGTCTGACTCCAGCCTTTGCTACCATCCATTAGCACTGTGGTAACAATGCTATACATACGTCCTAACCAGGCAGCTAACAACTTCCATACGCACAGAAGATCCTAGGCACATAGGACATGGTCAAACAGAAGAAGGGGAAATGGCCAACCTGTATGTGAATTCAGGGGCAGTCCAAGTTTCTGCTTTCTTATTCTTGTCAGAGAGTACCATTGATAAATTGGATGTGACTGGATACTAGAGTGAAATTCACCTATTTCAAGACTAAAGGAAACCAATTTGTTAAAATGGCAAACCAAGGCTGGAAACCTTAAACTACTGTGACAACAGAAACTCACCAGTTAGTTTGAAAATCTAACAGGAACTTCAAAAATGTGCAAGATGAATACTGCTTTTAACCTTGAGAAAAAAAAAAAAAGAAACCCAAATAAAATGATTCAAACAATTTCAGGTACTTTGAGACCCTAGAGCAAAGCAGAACTAAGGATTTTTCACCGAGTTAAAATCTAGCACCAAAACACTTTCAACTTGTCTTTTACATTCATCTTCCCTTATCTTTTGCTGTACAACCTTAAAGACTTAACATACAATTCCTTTCCCTATCTTTCCCACTAAAGTATTAGCAGAACATTGTACCACTTTTTGTAATGACACCACAACGTTCTTTGGTTATTTTCTCATCAGCTTGGGGACAACACTGCCAGCAGGAACTTTCAGCACTCTGGAACGAGCCAGTTAAAAGCTGTTGCAGCAAAAGGTACCTCAGGCAGATGTGCTAGATGTCCTGAGGTACTGATGGCACTGCACACGTTATTCGGACATACTCAGAAACAGGATGGAACTGATGTACAGCTTATTCAGATGCTGTACAAAAAAGGTAAAATTACCAAAAGCAAACATACATGATGATTAGAAGCTCCCATCTTGTTCACGTTGAAGGATTACAGTTCATTAATTCTGGATGTAGGGAGTAGGATGTGATGACACTTAGTTCCACCAAGCTTGAATCCATTCCATCTAGCTCCTAATAATTGTACGTTTTATCCAATGACTATTAAAAAGTGCATAAGCAGTCATGGTAGCAGGATACAAAATGAATAACTTTTTCTTCCACTGGAAAGGTCTTATTCAGGTGCTAATTTCAGACTTACTTTCATTTATAGTTACTTAGCTGCTATGAATCTTACCAGATAGTAACCTTGTCAGTGTCAGCCTACAATATATTAAAATGTATTAAATTATTCAGTTGTTAGCAGTGATGCAAACCATTTCCCAACATTATACATGTTCATCCCAATACTAACGGTACTAATGGTATGAGCAAGGACCAATCTTTATATAAAGTGGCTAAGGGCAGGTTCTCTAATACCTTGTTATACCATGACGTGGCTTTACTGCTTTATAACAAAGACAGAGAAGTATGCAGGCATCTCTAATTGTTGAAGGATCAAAGATGCATTTCAACTGAAATATGCTTTTCCTCCTCCACTCTCTATATCACTTATAAATCCAAAATAAATTTTCAAGGGTTTTGTTTTCCTCCTTGTTGTGTTAATGAGCTCCTACTGTAATATGAAGAGCCTTTTTGTGTTCCACAACATAGCTCCAAACAAAATTCTTCAGGAAGTTCCTCACATATCTTTTATTTGAAAATATATACCTTTCTACAGGCACTGAACCTCATAATATTCTTGCAATTTAGACCAAATGATGGGACACTCACTCTAAGGTAGAACAAACCATTATTATGCTACAAATTGTACCAAGAAATTATATTGCACTTAATTAAATTATACTTGCAAGAAGAAATCAAGGAGCATCTTAGTCTCCATAAATTTCTGACAGAAAGGCAAGAACATCTTATAAGAATGCTACAGAATGGACAGTTGGTCTGGACCTTCATTTTCTGTTTCATCTAAAGGGTATCTCCAGGACCATGTAGAGACATCTTCCCACAAATTGTTTCAAAAATAACATTAGAGTTAGCTTAGTGATTCAATAATCCCATCTATCTCTAAATCTAAATAATACAGAGATCAAAAAAATAACTCAGAGAGGTAGAGCTACAAATAATCAACACATTTATAAAAACAAACACATATAAACATAAATTAATACTTTTTATTTCAGTAGAAATTAAAATTCAGTCAAAGAGGAAAAAGTAGTTATATATACTATCTGACCATAAACAAACAGGACAAACAACACAATATGCTCACATATTACAAAAAGTCACAAAAAACTTTTTAAATGCTAGCTCCTTTGAGAAGAATCCAGAGTGGAGTTTCATGCCTACATTTTCCATACAGTATACAGCAACCTAAAGTATCAATATTCGGGAGGAACATGCCCAGAAGCACAAATACAGGCAACTAGCATCTTTATGCACCTGCAGATCTAGGTAAAAGTTAAATAGGGAAGTTTGAATCACTGTTTTAGAATTGATTGAATCAATCCTGCCCATATAGTGTATATCTTCATTGAATGTCATACTATGGCGTTGGAAAGCTCCAAAAAAGAGAGCCCACGTTCATTTGAAGAACCATCCCCTTCTCCTAACTTGCTTTGCCTTGCATATCACACTTTTATTGCAATGTCAAAGGTAAAGATGATTTTTTTAAAGGTGTGTTGTTGTGTGGATGTTTCAATCAACCTATGAATTACAACCACGTTTACGCTACTTTCGCCACTACATCTACTATTTCTTAGTGGACTAAATTCAGTGTATTTGATTAAGGAATGCATTTGATTCTATAATACAGTAACAAGATGTATTTTGCAAAGCTTTACAGACTTATGGAAATGCTGAAAGAGTGAATGTGTATGACCCACTTTTCAAAGCTACACATTTTCATGTTGAATGTCACCAATCTCTCGTCACGTAGCTGGAAACTGTACTGAAAAACATTTTTGCCACTTAAAACTCTGCAATCAACTGTAACATCTTTTTTATGCAAAATACATAAAGGTTTAAAACACGGGAATATGTTCAAGTTAAATACATTTATCTACTTCTGACAATCTGTTCAGTGAAGAATAAAACTAAAAGATCAAACCAAATAACCATATTTTGTGCTGAACATACGGTCATGTTAGTAGTTAGAAGGTGGATGACTACTCAGGGGAGAAGAGATTAGGGGGCCCGGCAGGGATTCTGGGGCAAGGTCTGCTTCCTTAGCATAGACAAAACCTATCTGTGATAACATTCTTTTGCTCATTGGGTGTAGACAAGCCTCTTGCCCTTTGTTTTTGTTTTGTTTTGTTTTCGTCAGAGGCTTTTAATACATCTGAGAAGCATGGACTTGATCTGGAGTCCAGGGCAGTTTCCAGTCTGAGACCTAATTCTCTACTCTGAGTGACACAGAGGCTGGTCAAGGCTCACGCTGAGCAGAGCTTATGCTTTTGCAGTTCCTTACCCTTCAGGATCCAGTTACATGTTGCAGGTAGACCTACTGCAACGGAAATGAAATGAAATAGATCAAGGGACTTCTACAGAAGCAGCCTGAAAGCCAGACGGCTTCTAGACACAACTGAAAAGTTTCCTGCAAACATAATGTGGATGGAGACAAGTATAAAAATTCTCTCAGTGGATACTGAAACTAAAAACATGACTCAAGTGGCTCTTCACAAGGCGTTATTACCATGTAATATTATTGCTACCTAAGGCTTAAAGAAAACACTAATCTTAATTTTTCAAATAGCTCAGTGTAAAACAAAGTCAGGGGAAAAACATAATGCAAGGAACTGCAAATCTTCTGAATGATTCTGTCTGGATCTATGTTTTTACTACAGAAAAAGTTAATCAGAAAGCTTAGAAACAGAAAGTCCTGAAAATCATATTCTTGTCCAGCAAACCAAGCGTCACTTTCCAATTTAATACAAATGCTTAGCCCCATACTTAAATGCAATCATTTCATTAATACTTTTAAAATTTAAATTATTTCCAATAGGAAAAAAAATCTGTTTTGAGACACTGTCAACAGGCAAAAGCAACTTATTTCTAAAATAAAATTAATTCCTTTATCCTCACCAATGCAGGTAGGAAAATTCTCTATTCATCTCACCCCCTATCTGCAGTCCATTTCAATGTCCCAGCACAAAAGTTGGCAATTTAACCTGGCTGGTATAGCTGCAACTGATGGGGTCCCCAGTGACTGGTGAGGACTGGCACGTACCAGTGCAGTAACAAACATGCAACCATGGAGCTCAGTACTCTGCACAGCTCTTCTTACTCTGAGTACTCTGCATTCTTCCAAAAACTGAGGCAGAACAAGTCCTTTTTTCCATCTTGGCAACACTGCTAGTTATCTTAGGTCTCATGCACCTTTACTTGCTTGCACATCTGGAATTACAGTATCTTTCATGTAGAATAGAATAAAATGGAGTCAACTGAAGTAATTATAAATATCTTAAACAAGTACATGTTACTGTTACATATCCTCTGAATAGCCCTTTCTGTTCTCCACAAAGTTCTGATTATTTGTTGCAAATCTTATTTAATTTTTAAAATCACATTGAATATTTCACCTACAATGTGTAGAGGAACTATTCTACATTTCTGCTAACTTCAAACCTGAAGTTACTGAACATTTAATTTAACCCCTGCTGAGTCCAGAGAGAAGATGCATTGCTTCATTGATTTGCGGTTTTGAACAAAAAGCTATGATTAGCATGTAAGATGAGAGGGTCAATGAAATGGAGACAAAAATATTAATCAAAACTGCTAATAGCAGTAAAGTTTAATAGCATATTTGAATTAGTGATTATCTACAGCAAAATCACAAAAGCTTATACTATACTGTAAAACTCATTTCCTTCTCTCCCTAAACCCTTTTCTATCTTTGTAATAAGGCACGGTTGCAGTGGTTATGGTGCTAGATTTTCCTTTGGTCAAAATACAGGAAGCGGCCAATTTGGGCACAAACCTGAACTCATTGAAGATCTGTGTTTAACTGTAGGACAGAAATGCACTCTTTGGGTTGTGACAATCATTCTGTTCAGTATGCTTCCTTACATTTAGAGAGATCACAACCTATCTGACCTCCTAGAGGAGAAAAAAAAGTGGGAGGAGATGGAACAAAATAGGATTTGTTTTGAAAAAAAAATATGAAATATTCAAATGCTGCACTCAAGGTCTACACATCTTCTCCAGAAATCTTTATTTACTATTAAATTTACTTCTATTAAAAATACTTTTATTTACTAATAAAATAGTCTATGTCTTCAGATGCTATGAGACTACTAGGAATTCCCCATGCAAGCTCTAGCGTCTAGTACAGTACAGACGTAAGTGCAAGGCTAGGAATATAGAACTGCTGTTAGGCACTTATCTGTTTCGAGGGAAAAATATCAAAAGAAGAGTTAAAAAACTCTTAAGTTAAAAAATCTTAAGTTATATACATAACGCTTTAACTAACAAAGGCTGTAAGTGAAAATCATACGAAATCATACTTATAATATCCCTTCTCAAGCTAGTTTCACACAGACGTATTTCCAAGAATGATGATATTCTGACTTCTTTGGCCTGCTATTATAAAAATAAACTGCAGATCTTGTATAACACTTGTGCCAAACAGTTACAACAAAAGGATTTGTACCAATTCTTCTGGCTTTATTCAGCCACCTCAGAAAAAAAAAAGGTTGTAAGAGTAGCAGCAATATCATAATTTAAATTTCAGCATAAATAACACATAGAAATACATTTTCTTTCTATATTAAACATTTGTTGACTCAACAACATTAATGTGACTCTGCTTGCTGCTCTTAGCAAAGGTAATAATCACTGAAACGTGAGAACCACTGGCAAGGAGAGGCAAAAGCATGTGGTCAGCTTAGACTTCAACTCAGAACTCTTTCAGTAAGAAAATATGTATCTTTCTCAATATAAAGAATGAAAGTTTTGAAAAGGTGAGAATACTACTGTCAGATTAAATAAGGAAAGATATTTCTCATCTAAACACGTACACATATTCGCACAATCTGAATTACGTAGAGGAATAGCATGAGATCTTCAACATTTCTTTTTCTTGCACATATTCTTATCTTGAATGTGAATTCTGTTTTGTTGGACTCTCCTGCTTAGAACAAAAATTATCCCAATATGTAGAATCCTCGGGTGCGACTGGAATACCAGATGCAACCAAGTCTTCAAAAGTCAATAACATAAACTGTGGTTGATTAGACTTCATGGAATATACCTAAAGAAAATACAAAATATTACATGAATGAATAAACCTCAATTTTCTCCCTGCAGCCTTTCCTGTGCAGTTCATACTACAAATTACTTACTGAAGAAAACAAAATATTCTGATCCAGACCAATGTCACAGTCCCTAATTTAGACTAGAAGGTAACTAACAGAAGCACATAACAGTGCACATAGATGAAATCAATTTTTTTTTTTTTTTGAGATGCAGCCCAGAAATTTGAGAGAAGACGGATATAGAGAATTCCAGAAACGCCACGGAAACATTGCTTAAGGCTGGAAAAAAAGAGGGAAAAAACATACTTCATTCTACAGCAGGCATGATTATTTGAGATGATACTCTCAGGATTTATTCCACTGGAGGTATGGCTATTCATATTCCTTCGAACACCAGCAATCACTGTGGTTGTGCACGCACTCGGTCTTCTCACAGAAGCACATAGTGTTAAAGGATGAAAGTGATCACAGCAAACCTACAACTCTCAGTTTTAAATTCAGATTAAGCGCAGACCAGGATATCAGATAGGAGTGTGTCAAGGTCTCTGCATTAATTTCATCACTTTAAAGAAATTTATATTTGAAAGGAAAAAGGTTTGCTTTTCTAAGCATGCATTAGTGTACATCCTGCTGTATGCAACTGGTAAATGTAACTCTTTCCAAACAGCAGAGCAAACAGAATAACTACATGAATGACTTTAACTGATTCTGATTCTTCCAACTGATTCTTCCAAATTTGGCATTTGCTCAAGAAACATTCTTAATGTTTAATATTTGATAAACGTCAGCAGGGTTATCCTACAGTTATTTCGTACATCTCACAAACATTTTTTGACGTTGGCTGTTAACCTCTTGGGGAGTGAATACTGATGTCTGCTAATGAAGGTAGCTGAGTAAATGACTAAAGTAACAAAAAGCTCTGCTCTCTCTGCATCACTGTTTGAGCAGTAAACTACAGCTAGGAATACATGGAGAGACAACAAAACGGTTTGTGTTTGTTGTAACAGCATAGCAAAACTCTGGAAGTTGTCCAAATGTAGATTGAAAGAAAAATTAATTGAGCTGCCTGTCACTTCATATCCCCACACCAGCGGCAGAGTGTTGAGACATTCCTGTTCATCTGGCATTTTAGAGATGAGCTAAAGCTACAGAAACTGTGTCTGAAGCCATGAAAGTGACATCACGTATGCATACCAAATATGAACTAAGCCTCTGAGGTAAGCATGTATACTGGTATCGAATCTGGTTTGAACTTGAGTATATACTTGCCTGAAGACAATTATGTTCTGACTGAATTCATCTACTCAGGTGAAATTTAGCGAGTGACAGATTAAAAGATGTTTTATAGCAAGTAAATAGGGTAAGAAACTCATTGTCATCTTCTGTGGAGATCTGTCTCAAATCAGGTAACTGCGGAGCACAAATAAATGCTCTTAACATTATGGAGAATTTAAACCATAGTATTTTATAGAAATGATTGGGTTGTCCTGTGAATTACAAGTACATGCTATCAGATTTTGAGGAAAGTTCTGTGAAAACATGTTCTGCAAACAGAACATAATGGTAGAGAGGGAACAGAGACAAGCACTGACATACTGAAGCAATAGCATAATGTCTTCACGCTCCATGTCATCCTCCATTAAAATCAGCATGATGAGGTGGCATACCAGTTTAGCAGCCCAGATTGGTTGACCATCTCCATTTCCCTCTCAAAACTCTTTCCTACATGAGTACTAGCAGGCTGTGATAAATATCACTTAACCTTCTCTTGAATAAACACATTAAACACTGTCACCATGCGTTCTAGATTTGACATTATCTGTTACTGTCCTCTGAAACTGTATCTCATTCCAAGACCTTTTCTGAAACAGGTTAACAGTTCACTAATAATCTGATTAATACTGTACTTCAGATAATCTCTCTTATCCTTGCACCTATATCCAAGATAATATACAGTTTCAGCTACAGCATCAGACTGCAAACTTATGTCCAAGACCTGCAAAAGTTTCATAACTCCTTACATAGGAATGCTTCTGGCCAAATCCCTCCTGTTTCCCAAGAGCCACTGCAACATGATGATTGTCATCTAACCGGGTTTCCTAGCAAAGACGAAAAACAGAAATGTAAATGTATTTTCTTTGTTTCCAAATACATGGTTAGAATGTGGTTCAGAACCAAAAATCAAATGGACTTTAAAATAATCACATTCACAAAGAAATAGTCATTCTTAGTAGATTTGTTGGAGAGATCAAGGATGTACACATATGAACAACTTATCAGAACTGAATTCATTACTATATGTCACCATCATCCCACCTAATTGTACACATTTATAACCAAGTTTGTCACCTTAGTTTTCCTTTACCAGTCACTTCTAAGTCACAAGCCACATGACTTATTCTAGCCATCTGTTTTCAGATTAGATGAATTGTGAACTTCTGACGGAAAGTGTTCTGAAGAGCAAGTATAAGCTGAAACCAATGACTCTCTCACTCTCAGCTCCACACATCAGGTAAGATCACAACTTCAAATATCTGATGCAGGAGTCCGAGCACAGCTGTGTGAATATGGAGCAGTTTTCAGCAAAAAATTACTCAATTATTAAATTTAAAAGTGTTTCTCCAACCCTGGCCCCCCCCTCCCTGAAGGGCTAAGAATTCATCTTAAGTAATTAATTCCAGAAGAAACTGGTTTTATGTGCTGCTTCTGAATAAAGTTTATTCTGAAATCAAATCATAATTGTCAACTCTATCCTCTTAATAAGGAGAAAAAAGTTCCCCTTATTTCCTTATCCAAAAGCGTTCACATCATTTCCATGTCAACTTTTGAAAATGGAAATCAAGAATAGCTAAAACTTTAACTAGAAAAATGAAGCATTCATATCACCAAATCTGAAAATCAGCGACTTAGATGCTACGTATATCAGCTACTAGTCTGGATTCTCTCCTCGGAGGTATGAATGAACCTCCAGTTTTCACTACCTTGAGAAATACCTTGACCACACTACATTATTATACAAAGAAAACTTTATTTATGATGTACTCCCATTTCCTCTGAAAAGAGGTTTTTTTTTTTTTTAAATGTAAGCAACATGTCTTTTAAAACTACTGATTGACTCTACTGACTGACTATTTCAATTCTTTCTCATGTATGTGAAGTATTTCTCCCAATCTAGACAAACAAACCTAAAGTGTAAGCTGTATTTCATATGACTGCATGAGTTCTATGTGTACTCACTATGAAGTATTTTACCAAGCTTTCTATTCCCTTACTATGGCACAAGACTGAAAAGAAGTCAAGCAGAAGGACTTTGACCTAAAGCTGGATGAAAGCTTATCATTTGTACACACATATTTCTTTACCTTCCTAGAACATAAAAAAAGATTTTCTATGAAAATTAGCTATTGGATCAACCATTATAAAAAAATTTACATAGTTCTAAAGTAGCAGATTTTTGTGTTTGTCTATACTGTCAAATAACTAGATATAGTTTTTATCACTTCATTCCCGCCCTTCACTTTTTACCTGTCCTAGAGGTGAAAGACTAATACGATTAAAACATACCGCAAAACACATTCAGCACTTGCCTCCATTTGTAGTTGCAGATCTGAAAATAACTGTGTTACAGTTTTAAACTAAAAGCACATCAATTTATGTTTGTGAAGTGAATGTATGCATTACATCTTGTCTGCGCAACTGGCTGATAAACATAGTATAAATAACTTAAAATCCCTTATGTATTGCTTATAGAATCACTTTGTCAGGTCAAAGCTGTATTTAACAGGAAGTGACTCTTTGGATAACTAGGACTATTTCCCTGCAAACAGAGACCCCCATCCAACCGATAATTAATTCAGAAAGTTCCACTTCATTTGCTTCATGTATCCCCAGTGTACTAGAGGTCATAAACTAGCTCTCAGTTTCTTATAATAAACATGAACTATGCCCTTCATTTTATCTTCAACCCGAAACAAACACAGAACAGTAGGAGATCCTTCCTGGCCCCTCCTTGTGGCCAGCAATACCTTAGGGTATGGTGTTTACACAACATGAATAAGCCATAAAACCCAGCAACCCAACTTGCTTCCATACTCATTTGGAGATGTTGGCAATACAGCTAATAAATGAAATTAATTTTATTACATGCAAATAGATGATTAAGCAAAAGGAAAAGAAGGATAACTGTACAGGAATTCCTCTGAGGTACAGGGCTTTTTCAATTTTAATTTTTAAAAAGATTACTCTCTATAAAATAGAATGCATATAATGGATCTTTTTTTTTTTTTCTGAGCAGAACCAAAATGTCACTTTCGCTGCTCCATCTACAGGCATGCTGAGACCTGTAATGATCTCATTTCAAAGGCACAGCAGAATGACAAGTATGAGATTCAAATCATTCTGGACTCACTGAGTGGACAGCTTAAAAAAAATAAACTTTCTGAGTCAGCAGACCTGCTTGCTTATTTGGTCTTCGAAACGAAAATTCTGATTCCTATTTATTCTTGACAGTACAACAGAATGAACTTCACTTACTGAGGGTGAGCGCTTCCATCACTTTGCTGTAAACCAGCAACAATTATGTTTCAAATTGACCTAGGCAATCCCGCTTTGAAATAGATATCCCAGAATTAATTTGTTTGTGTACAGACAGCCCAAGCAAATATTTGCTCTGAAAAAATGCCAACAATTAATTGCATAGCAGCAGTGATGTCAGCTTGATTCTCAAACACTGAGTGAAGTTGAGAATCAATGCGACTGCTTACTTTATAAACTGGCTGTATCAAAACTGATGTAGGCATCTGCCTTTAAAAGATGTAGTAAGAGCTGTCCAACTATTCTTCCTCATCAACTGCCTAAAGCTGGTAATAATAAGAAAAAGTCAGCAATATACTTTTAACCTTTTGCACATCAGTAATCAGGATATATACAAACATATATCATGGACATAACTTTGTCTCTATAAGCTATATATATACAACTTGCCATAATTGTTATTGGTACACTTTATTCTGTAAATTTATTTTATTAAAAGAATTACATGCAGCACATAGAATTATTCAATAAAATAATAATAAAAAGGGAGAGAGGAATGACTCTGTCCTAAATTAAAACCCTGACATAAACACCATCGCACTCTTTACCTGGTAAGTAACTTCTAACTACTACTAAACAAATCCTTTTTGAAATGACCAAATTGTGCACTGCCTATGAGAACAAAGCATATTTAACACATAGCAGATATATCTATTATTTAAAATTAAATTTTGTATGTTTAAAAATAAAGTTTTGCCTTACATTCTGTCCTATTTTTAACTACTTGTTGCTCTAAGTCATTAAAAAAAACTTTTCAATGCCTTTATTTATATTACTTGAGTTCCAAAGACTTTTTTTTTAAAGTTTCTAATTTATTGCTAAACATAACTCAAACTGAGAATTCAATATTACATACACAATATCAAACCAGAATGGTCATTGTGTAATTAATACAAATCTTTCAGAAGTTTAGTGCAGCTCTCAGTGCAATTAATCTCTAATAAAAATATTTCTAATGAAAATAATGGCATAAATCAAGCAAGAAAAGAAGTCATTGACAAAAAATGGCAAAATTAATCATCATCCTCTAAGAAGAGAAATCTTCTTTTTTCCTATTTGCTAATTCTTTTTTGTGGTTTCTAATTCAAAATAAAGTTTTCAACCTATCACAAACTGAGTGCTCAATTCAAAAGGAAATTTAAGTGGTGCTGTGATTTCTCATCTTTGACGCCTGACTGGAAATCCCTCCTCTGTATTTGAGTTTGAAAGAAGTATCAGAAGAAAGACTTCTCAAAACTTAGAAGGACTTAAACTTTCTTTTCCCATTCCCTCCAAATCATCCTAGAAAGGTTAACAGAAAAAAGAATATACTAAAAAATAATTGAAAATAACTAATTAAAGAACAACTATTTACTGTGGGAAAAAAAACTGCCTGAAAAAAAGATACTGTCTCTGTTGGATTGACTATTCTAAAACCGTTAGAGGGAACCTGGGTAGAAGTCTCCAGAGAACTACAGCTTTAGCCACTTGTTTTTATAAACAGATCCCCTATGAACAAGACGCTATCTCTAAGCTACTGCCTTCTATCCAACGTGTTCAGCCTGGAGAAGAGAAGATTGAGATCTGATCAATGTGTAGAACTATCTGAAGGGAGGGTGTCAAGAGGATGGGGCCAGACTCTTCTCCGCGGTGCCCAGCGATAGGACGAGAGGCAACGGACAGAAACTGAACCACAGGCAGTTCCATCTGAACAGGAAGAAAAACTTCTTTCCTGTGAGGGTGACACCACGGGCACAGGTTGTCCAGAGAGGTTGCAGAGTCTCCTTCTCTGGAGATATTCAAAATCTGCCTAGATGCAATCCTGTGCAATGTGCTCTAGGTGTCTCTGCTTGAGCAGAGGGGTTGGCCTAGATGATGTCCAGAGGTCCCTTCCAACCTTGGCCGTTCTGTGATTCTGTGAAAAATATATCAGGAGTGAGGAGCGGGAAGAGACTTTACACAGAACCATACCCTTGGTAAAGGGACAGCAAAAAACACAATACAACAAGGTCAACTTGATATGAATATCCAAATGTAACTAATCCCTTGCGTAGCAGTGATCTCAACACAGCCATCTAAAACTTACTCCAAACTAGCTGTCTGGATTCTTTCTTCCATCTGGTGAGAGAGAAGCTCCCTAAGAGTAATTCAATACACCTTTCCTTCTATGGATAACAGGCTACTCAGACAAAATTCAAAACCGTAGATGGCCACAGTAAAAGAGAATAATCCGACACATGGGACAGCACAACAGATCTCTGTGGATAACTAATTTCAACTGAAACTGGTATCAAGATACTAGCCCTAATAATCACACTATATGTCAAAACCAAATAGGTGCAAGTCCTCACACTAATGAATTTTAAAATGGACATCTTTTTCTGTTCCCACAATAGCCATAAAGTCTTAGAGTGCAGAGCACTGTAAGGAACAAACATTAACCTGAGTTGCATAAAGAAAGTAACGATTGTTCCGATTCCACCCTGAAGATAACAGCAAGCAAATATAATTAGTTTCATGAACAACTCTATTGCCAAGACAAGCAATGCAACCACCCGCAGTGTCTGACTGTGCCATGAAGATTAAGAAACCTCAATATGCATAATGCCCCACCTTCAAACAAACCCCATAATCTTCCGCATTGGTGAAAGAGGAGAGAAAGTTCCACTACAGTGTGATCTAACAGTATATATACTCTGTTGACTTAGTATAAACCTTCTATCTTTAACACAAACTGTAACAATTATACGTTAAATAAAGTTTCTCCATCATAACTGGAAAGATTCTGTTAAAATAGTTCTCCTGATAAGAAACTTAAAAACCTCTACTCAGAGCAGAATCTTCAAAAAATTCCATGAATTTTACTGGTGTATTTTTTTTAATGTTTTTGTAACAAATTTCCATTTGGAACTAGAATAGTAAAAAGAGCTGTACATTTTTATCTCCTTATTTCAAGTCATGTTAAAATTTATTTTTCACATTTGGCATATAATCAAACACACTAAGATTGAGATGCAAGAACTGGATTTTCTTAATCGAAGCAATTAATAAAAATACTATGTTTTCAAACACAACTTTTTGGTCAGCTTTTTTTTAAAGGGATGCACCTTACTCTTAAATTAAATCTCTCAAATGCAAACTTCAAATGCATATCATAAAAAATAATTAATAAAAATTTTCTAACACATTTCTATACATTGACTAATAACCTGGCAAAAATAAAGCAAGATTAAGTCTTCAGCTTTCAACAATAACAGCTGGTGTAATAAAAAATACTACATGTTTTCTACAAGCTGTGTCCTGTACCTTAGGTCCTCATAGCTTCTACTGTATGTGATATACAGTACAACAAATAGCAATTTGTTATGATTTACTATATATAAAGCCTATTTCACAGTTGTTACAAGATCTGATTTATCCCCATATAAATATTATACAGTAAAAAAAAAACCAGAAGGCTCAATTCATAAAGACAGGCTTGAAATCTGAAAATAGATGCTTAAATGCACAATTGCACTTTTTGTATTCATATTATTTTGTTTTGTTCACAATCGGTAGTGAAAAAAATTTTGAAATTTCAATAGCAGCTGCAAAATTGAATTATCATCTTGAAGCCTACTTTAATATAAAGCTCTGAGTAAGAGGTTTTAGGTATAGGGACTAGGTATGACTAGGAGAACCTAAGGAAGTTCTGCTATTTATCTTAAAAAGATATTAACCTCAAAAAGTATATTAGTGCTTATTGCACAATGACTTTTATTCCTGAGAAAAATCAGACATTCATGTAGTATTTACAATGAAATAAGCAGCCAGGTTTGTCCACAGAAAACTCTACCTCCAATATGAACAAACTTTGCTCACATTGCGAACAATTTCAGTGTGTCTGAACAGTGTCAACTTTGACTCGTTTCAGTTCGCTAGTATTTCTTTTGACCCTTTTTGGCAGGATGAGGTGATAAATCCCTTTCTAACCTTTATGCTGGTAAGCTGCTTTTATCCCATTACACAGTATTTTCTGAAAGATATTCCAGAATATTTTATGGAACCTAAATCAGTTTAAAAAAAATTATTTTTCTGCTGTGTTTTTGGTAAATCAGGCTCTCTTTAAAACTGAAAAAAAAAATCCAAACTATGAGGTAATTGGATTTTAATGAGCTTTGCTTTCTCTTTGATCATCCCCTATCACAAAGATATAAACAAATCTGAAACATAAAACTGCCAAACCATGACATTTTTCATTGGACAGAAAAAGTTCACTCAAGTGAATTCAGCAAAATAAGAAATACAAGAAAAATATTATACCAGTAACGTGCAGCCTTACAGGTGATTCTCAATGATTTCACCCTGGTGACTCTCCCAGATTTCTCAAAATTACTGCTTTCACCTAACAAGTCATTTCAAGAGTTTGCCCCATGCGCAAATAATTAGGAATGCTTCCTCCAAACAAAGAGAAATACAACTTCAGCATGTAAGAAAATGGGGCATAAAACTAAAATAAACTTGGGAGAAAGGGAGAATATTTTATATATATATATGCCCACATACACACATGCACACGTAAGGAGATGAAGAAGTAAAGCAATACTTAATTTTATGCTGGAGATTGATAATTGAAAAAATAATTAGTTTTTCGATTTCATTTTAATTAATGCCAATATTTAAGTGAATTTATACTCAAATGAGCTAGTATTTAAATGAAACTTGATAACAAATCCTTTCTCTGAAATACTGTAACCTGCCTGCTTGTAAGGATGTGCTGTTGGGAAGTAGGGGGCAAGCACGGGAGAGGAGACATTCCTTAGATAAAAATTAAATTATGCTTCTAAGAGTAATAACTGAGTAATAAAGAAAAAATCAAATAATTATAAGGCATTTAAATAATACAGGGAACTTTTTACATCATTATCTTCAGGTTATTTTAGTCAACCTACCACAGGCATGATTCTGAAGATCAAAATTAGGCATTTCAGAAGTCACTTAAGAGAGGTAGGTGCCTCCCTGACAATAGTATATAAATATTAATGTAGAAGACGTTCTATTATAAGACATGTCACAATCTTTTCTAAGATTTTTTTCAATAGTCTGTAAATCTAATTACTGAATTTCATGACAGGCTCAGTTCCTAGAGATTACAGCAATACAAGCAAGAGGTCTGATTTAGTATGGATAGACTTTTAAAATAATACCAACCCAAATGCGATTAGAGGTGTCCAAAGGAATGAACTGTGAAAGTGTCAACTTACGCCATAAATTAAGCGTTACTGGTACATTCAATCTTGTTTACTCCATGCACACCACACATATACTTTGCATACTATAAAAAGCAGACATACACCAGAAATTGGTCATTATAACTAGCTTTACCAGAACAGTTGTCTACAACACTGCAGATGTTTTCAAAATGTAAATATTTCAACTGTAAATGGAAGCTGACTGCACTTACTGAAAAGCACACTCAACTGCTTTGTGAAATAGAACTGCAAGGTATGTACACTTGGAATCGCAAGTCAGCTGCATACCTGCAGCACAAACTTAAGGCTGACAGAGACAGACTGGAATAAAGAGACCTTTACAAACAATTTTAAAATCAAAACCCCTTTTGTCTTTCTTCTTTTAAGTGGCTGACTGAAAGTGCCTCTGGGGTGTAGAGAACTGCTCTCATTTTTTTTCAGTTTGGTTTCTCTGGGTAACTAAATAATCACAGTATCTATCCGCTCTCTCTCTCCACATCCTTTAAATTGCATTAGAATCCATGATCATTTTCTCACTGAAGTATACATGTTTTACCCTCAAGTCTCAACAACTTTCCAGGGGGCTCTATGTGTGCATGTGTGAGTGTGTACAACCAGACAGAAATCTGAGCACAAATTAGTGTCCCAATTAAGCACAAGTAAGATTTTTGTAGCCATCCCTCTCACAGGCAGCAGCCAATTAGTACACTGCAATGCAAACCAGCCAAAGCATATGTTACTTCTCGTCCATATCAGCAGGTAGAAACAACTGGAACTGAAGACACTTCCTTCATTTCAAACCTTTAACATAAACCCTTACTAATGGAGTTGGTTCACCATTAGTACCGTTCTAGACCATCTGATGAAGAACTTAAAATTCAGACACTATTCAAAAGTCAACCCTGAAACTGCTTAAGTGAATTTCCTGTGCGCCCTAGGATGAATTTCACCGAGTTCAAAAAAGAGATATTCCAAGAATGGAAAAGATAAAGTCATTGAATATATTATCTAGGATTTTTTTTTTGATCAAATACCAAGAATATTTTAAGATGCTACACATTTATATTCTGTTTTCATTTATGCCTTTTCTATAGGTTATACAGAATAAAGGTGTAAAATTGCAATTAAAAATTAAATGTGCAATGCAACTATAAGGTTCAGATTGAGACTAGTCATCACGGTTAAAAAGTTTAGCTTAAAGATTTCTTACCTCAAAAGTCCATTCTTCTTCTTCATCTCCATCTAGCAGCATTTTTGTCTCCTGATATACCCTCCCTATTTCCAGATGCAATGGGGACACATTAAATTCAATTCTCTGCAAGTTGAAGCCAATTCCAACTCCAACAGCCTTTAAGAAACTCTCCTTTAGGGCCTGTAAGGCAGAAAAAATATATTCTAGTCATACTGGCTGCTTCTAATCAAACTGCTCTATAAACTTTACTTCTGAGCAGAGGCTGTAGGCCAAATAAATTTAAGACTTACACCTCTGTAAACGTGAGGGTAGACTGATGTAATTTATCAAAAGGAAAAAGTATCAGCATTACTAATATCTAACTCACTGTGTTATAATGAACATGCAACTGGAATTACTAAGTGGCACATGCAGTAATGAGCCTTCTTGCTTTGTTCTGCTATTCGTTTAGAACGAGTCATAAACCCTTCTAGAAACTTCAGCTATAGTACGGTCAATTTAAAGATACTCTGACATTACAAAGATAATCTCCACTTGACCAGATAACTATAAAGTATACAATTTTACCGTCATGAAAATAATAACTATATATCAAACACCATTAGCAAGCTATAGTTTCTGCAGCCTTAAAATAGAAAAAAAATGTATTACCCAGTGCCGATGAAACATATCCAGCTGCATCCATTCATTATTCATAGACTTGATTACATCCCATTCTGTCTCAGTAAACTGTCGCTTCATAACACGAAAGAAATTTCGTATTGAGCTACTACCTATAAAATTAGAAAAGACATTTACATAAATTTTAATGGCGTAATAATAATGAGCAAATGAATTACCTCACATTTTTTCTCCAAGAAATAATTCACTCATAAGAAAAAAAGATTATGATCCAGCTCTGTTCTAAAATATAAACTTACTCTATATAGCTTGGAAGCAGTGAGCAGATGCTGATGACAGTTGAGGATAAAGTAAGCATTAAAAAAAACATTCCTACAGCAGAAGCATTACATAAAAATGAAGATCAAAAAAAAAAAAGTCAAAAATATTCTGTATTTTCAGTATTCTCTGAAAAGATAGTATTTAACCAGTGGTGACTTTATGATCGCAGCCAGCTATAAAACGTAACATATACAGTCTTCTGCATTTCACTGCTTGATCTAATAACATTTTATAAAACAGCATGCTGTCTGTCAGAATTCATCAAGCTATTCTGCCTCCTGCCCTTGCGTGCTGGGGATATGAAAGAAAAACTTTTTTAAGCACATGTAGCAATACAATCTCCCAAATTTATTATGTGCATAGTGAGTCTTTTGGATTTATTCCACACGAAAAAGGTGGGGAGGGAGATGCCCACAGTCATGTAAGTAAAAATATTCAGGAAAAAAAAAAAAATCAAATCCTTAGGTTAAATTCAAACCTTACCTAAGAATAAGCACAGCAGCATATTTCTGCTGCAGTTCTTCAGGGGCCATACCACTTTTTGCCACTGGTCTCAATTTACTTTGCAGAAGATGCAACAAATTTTGTGGTTATACTGATCAATGGTATTTCTACAACATACTGGAAGTTATGGACTTCATTACCCACTTGACTAACCACCTACAGCCTATATCATTACTCAGCATATCATGCAATCTGTCCAATACAGCTGCTAAACAGACAATGGCAGAAAGCAGTCTGTTTTCTTTAGTGGGGACGATCAAAATCTGGATAGACGATGATTCCACATATTGAGAAAAATTTTTTGATAGGTTGTGCAATGTTCTCATTAAAAAAAAAAGGTAGCCACATTCAATATAAAACATCTTCTGCCCTCGCAACCCTAGAATGTTTTAACAACTCATCACTATATTATTACTTCATTAAGATATTGACTATTTCTAGTTCTGCCACTGGTTCTGAGTGACCAGGGCAAGTCATTTCCTTTCTCCACATTTGTGTCCCCCATTTTGGACCAGGGATAAGGTACTAACTCTTCTTTATAAAGTGGTTTTCTTCCACAGGTATCCAAGTACTATATTAATAAAAACAGGTATTGGCAGCAGTAACAATTGATCTGAATGAATTATGGTCGCACTAAAGCACACAGTCAGGCTTTCTGACAATTTTTTTCTCTTTCCAGATCAAATTACAAAACATAATCTGACATACTGTACACATCATACAATACATGGCAGTGACATTTCAGTGATGCCCTCAATTTCAATTATGGATTACAGTAAAGAAAACATCTCAAGACAGAAATTTTGCATACAGTTGCAGCGGTCAGCTAACAGAATGACCCAGAAGAATCAGGACAGAACTGATTTTCCTTTCAGAAGAAAATGATCATACCAGAAAAGAAAAGCAACCGTAATGTCAAGAACGTTTTGATGGATAACCTAAGTCGGTGAAATATCCATCTACTTAGACACTCCAACTTCCTTAAAACAATGAAAAAAGCACCCCACGTTGTTCGTTTTTTATCTTGCAGAGTTCATATAGCCCATTTAATCACTAAATAACTGTATTAACACCTGCTCCCAACACTCCACTGAAAGTTGTTCTTTTCTCTCAGCTATTTCAGAAAAGGGTGGTAGGGCAACAGCCCTCCCAGGTAATTCAAATTACAGGCCTAGAAACCTAGTCTTGAAACATTCACGAATTTCTCCATGTACCCCTCCTCCTCAGAGTCCTATCACCGTCGGAGACTTCTCCTGCTATTTTCTTTCAAGAACCCAGGGCTATTCACACTACCAGAGAAGACCTTCAGCACCTGGAGACTTGTAATGCCTCGTCTTGTCAGAATCCTCCTCCAACCACACCCTAGCACACTATGTAAGTACACTGCATGCTTACTGAACTATTTAGTATACTAAGTCTATACCAAACGCATGCACCACTGCCTTTTCACTCCTTACTTACCCTTTTTTGTCCTAGCTTTCTTCACCTGCCCAGCTACCCTCCTCTGATATGCTCCTTAATGCTCATTTTCAAATTTCCACAGTACTTTCTTCTCCCCTGCAAACTGTCTACCACTTCCTTACTCTGAAAAGCTCAGGAAGTGCTTTCTCCTGAACTGCCCTCCTCTCCAGTCTCCCTCTTAACATTGCTCAGTTGTTTCGCTCTCAGGAATGGATCAGATTATAGGAGCCAGGACTTTTACTCTCGACAAACTACCAGAGTACCATTGCCTGCCCAGTCAATTTCTTCATATTTGTTTGAATATCAGAGAGAGGCAGAGTCATTGAATCATGGAAAAGTTCAGACTGGAAGGGTCTCTGAAGACCATCTGGGTCCACCTTCCTGTTGAAAACAGGCCCTTATGTTAGGCTATCTATAGCCCTGTCAAGCAGTTTTGAATATTTCTAGCGAGGGAGATTCCACCACTTCTCTAGGCAATATATTCCAACGTTCAACTTTTTTATGGTGAAAAAATTGTTTCTTTTATCCAGACAGAATTCCCCTGAAGCAGCTTGTTCCTGTTGCCTCCTGCTCTGTCACCGTACACCCTTGGGAAGGGAGTCACATCACCTTCACCTGCCACCTACAGCAGGTACTAGAAGACTGTGATTATATTCTCCCCTCCGAGTCTTCCCCTTTACAGGCTCAATAAACCTAACTTCATCAACCTTTCTTCATAAGTCAAGTTCTCCAACCCTCTAAATCATCTTGGTGGCCTTTCACTAAAGCTTCTTCAATTTTTCAATGTCTCACATGAACTGGGAGGATGGGTGTGCCAAAACTAGAAACAGTAGAAAGTTTTCTTTTAGATATCATCTTTTTTGCTTTTATTCTGAAATAAAAAACCCCAAACCCACTCACCTCCATGATTTACAAAAGCTTTTTCTCAGAGAAGGGGAACAATTCCCATATAGTAATTATACAGTTAGTTTTAAATTTGCATTTCTAACTTAACTCCCACTTGCCAACCTGTTTCAGAAATGAACTTACTTTTTAACAATTATACAAATACTTGGACTTTTCAACTACTACTTTCATTTAGTAATAATTATTAATGCAACTAGGTGAACACACTGCTAGAAAGAGTCTGAATACGTCTCTAAACTGTAATACATCAGCTTCATTATAAAGTAATCTATGCATTTAAATTAATCCTCTGTCATTATTTTAAAATAAATTATTAATTTTAACAACACATGCAGTGAAAATGCTTTTGTCTTACAGGTATAATGTAATTTCCTTCTAGAATGCAGCAAAGGAAATTTAAGACTGTAAAAAGTGTTTAGAAAAAAGGAAAGTTAGGTCTGATTTCACCTATGCTCTAAGAAATCATACACTTTAGAAGGTAAGAAAAATAATCAACTTATTAATTAATTAATTAATTTATTCCAAATTATCTTTTTGCTTAAATTGGGCACAAAAAATCTTAATTTAAATATAAGAATTCTGTTAAGATTGCCTTTCTGCCTTTGACAATAAAAATAAATCTTACTTTTGAGAACACTGCAATTCATTAATAATACAAAAGCCTGCTTACAAAGTAATTAAATTGCAATATTAAAAATAAAGAGCTTTAGTTATTCCTGTATGCATATTTTGGAGCTAATAGTTATTTTTGATATTTGATTATATACAGTATAGTCTCTAGAGCTGATCATTAGAGGAACGGGGAAAGAGAGGCGACTAGTTACTCACCTTGGAGCAGGGCTCTTGACTGAACAACTAAGCTTCCTATCCTGTTGGTAACTAAGAGCTTTCTAAGTATTTTCCCTCCTCTGTGTGTGTGGGGGGGGGATATTTTTTTTTGCCTCCCTTTTTTTTTTTTTTTTCCTCTGAGAAAAGTCTACACAACGTGCTAAACATATCTGGTAATCTCAAAGCCAGCTCTAATATTAAAGTGAAGTAAACAAAACATGCCCCAGTATTTTGATTACCTTTGTGAAGCCATAGTCTTTTCTACAAGGAAAACGCAAAGACCAAGTAACAGAATTAGAAAGAAACTAGAACAGAAGTCAGAACTTCGGTAACACCTTTCTGCAGGAAATAAAGGCTTGACAAAGTAGTATTTACACGGGTTATTGCCCAGACATATGAAATTATTCTTAAAAGTACCTTTAAAAAGCTTCAGAGGATCCTCCCTCACATAAGATTACGAACAGACTAGCATGCAAAGTATTCACCACAGAAATCACCTAACATGAGGCACAAACACTGTCATGAACATGTCAGATTTTGGCTGTGACAACTCTTTACCTTTCGACTTTTGTTAACTAAGTAAAAATGTGACCTAAGTATCTGTAATTCACCATGCTGTGATTTCTTCTCCTCTATAAGATGATACTAATGGTCTACAAGAAATCTGGCTGTAGCACACATGTATTTACTTATGCAGGTAAAATTCTGACACAGAAATGCTTTAAAATCCTTAGTGTATGCAAACCAAAACAAGTATTTTTCTTAGAGCAACTTCTAAGAAAAATCTCCTAAGAAAAGAACTACGAAGTGGAATAGTATGATACAGAAGGGCTGTCAGTAAATTTTAAAAATAGATCCTCTGAAGGAACAAACGTTTTACTTGTAAGGCACACGTACAACACAAATAATTTCAGGATTTATGTCTTTATAGATTCAATGAAAAATGATAAGGCCAGGCTCTTAACTCGGACTTAACGCACATGTACTATTGCTCCTTATTTAACTCAAAGTAGTACAGGAAAAAGATTTCTTTAGCATATGCCTATGCTGCTTGTAGAAAACTGCCCATCTGATCTGGCTGCAGTTGTAAACATCCACGTGCTAACAAGCTCCAGAGCAGAAGCCACACAGC